AAAGTATCGATATGGCGGGCGGTGCGGGAATGCAGATGCGCACATTCCACTTTCCGTTCATCGGCGAACGCCAGCTTGTCGAAACCACCTGGACTGCACCTCGAACCGCTCCCTGGGCGAGACCTGCCGCAGCCCCTGCCGCCGTCGCCACGGCTCCGCCGACGACAACGCCGATCGCGGAGCTCATCCCGACGGCCTCCACGGCCCTGGTTTTCCAAGTATAGATCTGGTCAATGATGCTGCGTCTCCAGCTCTCCCGGCGCTGGGCATCCTGCAAGAAAGCGCAATCGGCGGTAACCTCTGGGATGCACCGGGGGCAGACGGGAAAGTCGAAGAAGCGCTCGAGCCCCAAGTACACGGGGTGCCCATCTGTACCGCATTTGGCACACACGGCGGGCTCGAAGGCCATCTGGTCGCAGATCTGGCAGCTGGCCAGCAAACCGCTGAAGATGCCTTCGTTGGGGTACATCCTTGGGCTCATAACCCGCGTAGCTGGGTTTGGAGAGGCCCAAGGCGGGCAAGCTTCTTAGCGGAACCATCCGACAGCTGGCCACCGCGTCACAGCGCACGGCCAGCTTGCTCGAGCCCTTCGAAGTGGCGACCCGCCGCCGCCGCCCATGGAGTTCGCAGATGATGGTATGGAGGGCCCCCGCCATCTGCATGGGAAAGAGAGATGCCAACCCAAAGAAGGGGAGGCATGATGGTCATACAACCATGCCGATCCTTGAGCCAAAAATGGCTACGGAGGCCCGACGTAGAGGTACTCTCTGATTTCCTGGGTCCGTCATTTCTCTCCTCCCCTGCAGAACTACGCAGTGGCTCCCCAAAGGTATCAACAACGATTGCGTGATGAAACCGAGGATCGACTTCGTTGTCCGGCGTGCGTTCAGAGAGCACTAAAGGCGTAGTTTGAGCCAACATTGCGAGGCGGGGATTTATCCATAGCCACCGCCTGTGAACCGACGTCCTGGTGCCCCAGCGGCCAGTGGATATGGATATATTTCGGCCCCTGGGGGTCCTAACATGTCCATATCCACCGCCTGCCGAGGCTCCGAAAACTGACCCTCCAGGCGGTGGATACGCATAAATTCCCGCCTCGGAAACATGGTTACGAAAGTCTTAGCTCCCGTCCCCGTGTGTCTCTCTGCTGCGGGGCCTCGGCTATCGGACGGTTGCCCGCCCGACCGCCGAGACGACAGAGGTATAGTATAACGAGCCTGTGGCGGAAAAAATGTTTTTTTCATCACTGTTGCGACCTTCTGGCCACAAGGGCCGCTGAATGCAGAGAGTGTGAGCGCAGTTACGGTCGCTGCTACTAAACACATTCCACTGAGCGTCTTCGCGCACACCTCCACGCACCGTCAGGGCCCGCATGGTCGCACTGGCTGAGCTCGTCTTCTCGCACCCGTTGATCTCTCACGACCGTCGTGCTCAAGTATCAACACGACTGAGGGAAGGAGCGAGGAAGAGCGCTTGCACTGTTTGAAGGATGCAAAGTTCGACCCTTGAAAAATCTCGGCGAAGCTGCCCGCCCGACCGCCCGGGGCTGTGGCAAGTTGTATAAAGCTGGCCCAGAACGGGGGGGTCAAAAATTCCAGGGAACTGGCCTTCGAACAGAAAAAGAGTTCAGATCTGTACCGACAGGCTTCAGCGTTAAAACTGTTAAACGGATTGTGGCACAAATCTGTATACAAACACATTTGACTCCACGGCCGTTGCTTACTCAGTGGTCAGATGGACTTACAAGCTGCACAACATACCGAAGGTGATCACTCGCCGAGAACCGACGAAACCGCACGAACAACGATCCCCAAACCTGGCGAGGCGCAGCTGCTGGAAAGCATACAGGGGCTGGCAAACCGCCGAGATCTGACGAACTCGCACGAGCCTCGACCCCAAGACCTCGACCCCCCGTGCCACCCGCAAGAGCGGGCGCCATGACTCAGACGACAAACGGCCTCCCGCCAGCCCGCGCTTCGGCAGCGAGATCCGGGATCGTCATCGTCGTCGTCTTCGTCGTCGGGACCTCGCCGCCATCACTGGGGTGCTCCCCTGCGCCACCTGGAGCGCAGGGGGACGAGCCCCGTATGGGACGCCGTCGCGAACGAAAACCATCCGCAGCGGATGCGCGCGGTGTTCCTTCTTCTCTTATTTGGTTGTTCCTCATCGCGCGTCGCTGGCGCACCGCTGGCTGCCTCCTGGCGCCGCGCCGACAAACGCGCAGATCAACCATAACGGGTCACATCCAGATGTAACCCGTTGCGGCCGACATATGCGACCCCGCCAGCAATGTCGTGCCGTCCTTCCCACGCACGCATTAGTCCCTCTGCTAGCCCCTTCCCTGAGTTTCCACCTGTCATGCGGCACTCGCAGTTTCATATGGATGGGTGCTTCGCCAGGCTAAGTTTGTTTGTGCCCCATCGGGCGTCGCTGATGCACCGCGGGTCCCGCAAAGCCTGCACCACGACATGGCCGTCTCGCCTGAAAAACTCGCCACCTCCTCCTCCTCCTCCTCCTCCTCCTCCTCCTCCTCCTCCTCCTCCTCCTCCTCCTCCTCCTCCTCCTCCTCCCCTTCCTCCTCCTCCTCCTCCGCCTCCTCCTCTTCCTCCTCCTCCTCCTCCTCCTCCTCCTCCTCCTCCTCCTCCTCCTCCTCCCCCTCTCAAGTAACATCTTGGTGTCGAGGGCTGATGTCCCTTGACCAGATCGTGAACGGTCTTCCCGCTCCTCTCTCGTCGGCCTGGGCCTTTGGAGCTCTCCAAAGGGCCCTTCCTCTGACGGGGGGAGTCTGGAGGATCGACGGATCGAGAGGTGGTGAGACTAAAGATTGGAGACTAAGGAGGCGTGGGTGAGTGCTGTTATGCTTCATGTCAACGAAGCTGAAGTGGCAGGTGGTATTGTTGGTACGTCACCGCCGCACTGTCAGAGATCCCCCCGTTCTGAGCTCTTCGCCCTGCTGATGTTGCTCACCGTCACAGAAGGAAATATACGCTGGCCCCCTTGTGGGGCCACCAGGCTGTAGGACGAAGCTTCACAGTTTCCTTTACCAGTTGCAGCTTCCAGTTTCCACTGTCACAGTTCTGCTTCTTGCTGCTTACTGTTCCTTGTTGACTTCTTGCTGCTTACTGTTCCTTGTTGATGGACCGCGCGATGGGAGGGAGGCCCAAAACGGGCATTTTTAGCACGCCCTGAGCGTGTTGTCTGAATTGCTGGGGTGGATAAAAATTTACACCCCTCACGCAGATCGGCAGGGTCAGGGTCCAAAAACACACGGGATTTGCCACATTTCTGAAATTCGGCGGCACCCCTCACGCGGATCGGCGGGGTCAGGATACAAAAACACAAGGGATTTGCTACATTTCTGAAATTCGGTGGCACCCCTCACGCAGATCGGCGGGGTCAGGGTCCAAAAACACAAGGGGTTCGCCACATTTCTGAAATTCGGTGGCACCCCTCACGCAGATCGGCAGGGTCAGGGTCCAAAAACATGTGGGATTTGTTACATGTCTAAAATTCGGTGGAACTCCTCACGCAGATCGGCAGGGTCAGGGTCCCAAAAAACATGGGATTTGCCACATTTCTGAAACTCGTCGGCACCCCTCACGCAGATCGGCGGGGTCAGGGTACAAAACAGAAGGGGTTAGCCACATTTCTGAAATTCGGTGGCACCTGTGACGCAGATCCGTGGGGTCAGGGTCGAAAAACAAACAGGTCCCGACACTGCTTCACGGCGGCGCCCAGACCTCATGATTTAGCGTTTGCATCTATCATTATCCGAGACAGGGGGCCGGCGGCATGGGGCGAAGCCCTTACGGATTATGGTGATTTCTGATTATCTCCCCCTCGCGCTGAGCTTTCGGAAAGCTCCCAAGCATGGTGTGAGGAGCAAGAGTAGCATGCTGGACCTTTGAGATCGTGGTTGGGATCGTCTCGGGACGCGCTCGGACCAGGTTGATCTCCGTTAAACGAAATCCCACCCCTCCCAGGCACAAGTCGATGATATACGAATCTCGAGTGGAGCTCATTTTGAACAATGACAGGTCAGCTGGTGGAGGCGCCCGTTGGGGCCAGTTGGGAGCTCAGGAAATCAACGCTGTCCGTGATGCTGACGCCCTCCCGGGGAAGGTTATGTTGCGCCCCCTTGCCATCCAGCGCGAAATGTTCCTCACCTGCTCCCGAGAGGTCTCGCGGCTGCCCGCAAGAGGTCGGGCATCACCAGTGCTGAGGCGAGAGAGAGAATCCTGCTGGCCGCTGGCCATGACGACTCTCGTCTCAGCACTGTGTTCCGTTGTTCTCGGTGTGCCCGATCGTTCCCTCGCAAGGGGACCCTGTCTAAATTCTGGCCTCAGATTTGCGTCCCCTTGTCGGAGTTCAGACAGGTCTCAGGGGAGTGGACTCCCCAGGCGGGGAGGGGGAGCGCCGAGCCGCCCCCGCTGGTGGTGGAGGACCTGCAGGCGCGCCGCCCACCCTCCGACCATCCTTTGTTCTCTGCCGTCCACCCCTCGCACACTCTCGCTACATGTCAGGGCGTGTTGTTTTGCCGAGTGTGCGGTGCGTTCGGTGTTGATCAGGCCCGCAAGCTGTTGTGTGAATGCGGGCCTCTATCTGCGAAGGGGCGGGAGGCCCTCTCTCGGTTGTCTCGAGGGCTCCCGCCTAAGTCAAGCATGTGTTTCCCCGTGCGGGGGTGAAGGTCATGTGCGCCCGTCAGGGGGTGAAGGACATGCCGATTGCCGCTTACCGTCAGGGGTGTGATTCGCTGAAGGCGCACTGACTCTGACCCGCACTTGAGGGGGAGCGAGAAGCCGCGTAAGTGCAATCGGTTCTCAACGCTGCGGTGATATCCTTGTATTTTGGGGGTGCTGTCTGGGTTCGGTGGGTGCCGCAGCTCGGCCATCATCTGCTACTGTTCGGGCATCTCTCAAAATATTTTCGTCTGAGTTCAGGAAGGCCGTGTGGGATGGACCGTCTGTCAGGCTCAGCGGGACGGAGGCTCGCATCATGTCATGAACCGGGGCGAGAGAGGCGCACGTGGTCATCTACGAGCGCCCCGCCATGCTGTTCACGGCGGTGGTCTACGTTGCTGCAACACCAGCTACTGTTAGGGAATCTCCCAAAGCCGCCAGGGGAATGTACTGGTCTGGCATCTTGTGGTGGGATGGCACCGTTTTCCACCCGAGGGCCGTGGAGAGCCAACCACAGGTTGTGTGGTCAATAGCTGTTCGTTTATCAATTGTTGCTCTGTCTGCTGGTGGTTTTCATGTTCCCTAGCAATGAACTCTTCAACCCGTGGCAACAGACCGCGGGGCCCAGTCTGGTGGTACAAGTTGGTACGCAGTGGTGTTCACCAATGCGCTTTCACTTTTGGCATTCTCCCTCTGGGAGTTGTGAGTTGCTGATCGTTGGCCGCTCATCGTGGGCGTATCCCAGGTTATCATGGACGCTGTCGGCAACCTCATTGAGCCACTGCCTCGGTGGAGGCCTGGGTGTAGAGCATCACATCTCCTACTTCTCGTCCTAACACCAGCATGCGTTCGAGGGTACGCCAAAGGCTAAGCACCAGAAATTGCTCCTCTGAGGCCACAGGTGCGGCGGCGGAATCGTCGACCGTAGTCGGAGAGGCGTAGCAACGTTGCGGCCTATCTTTGAATGTAGATTCCTGTAGTTTCCTCCTCATACTCCTCCTCCTCCTCCTCCTCCTCCTCCTCCTCCTCCTCCTCCTCCTCCTCCTCCTCCTCCTCCGTCCTCCTCCTCCTCCTCCTCCTCCTCCTCCTCCTCCTCCTCCTCCTCCTCCTCCTCCTCCTCCTCCTCCTCCTCCTCCTCCTCCTCCTCCTCCTCCTCCTCCTCCATGTCCTCCTCCTCCTCCTCCTCCTCCTATCTACGTTCCCACATCATGCTCTTCCTCCTCATCATTATCCTGGTCCTTCTCCTCCTCCTTCTCCTCCCTCTTCCTCCTCCCCATCCTCGTCCTGTTGCGATTTCGCCGCATCGTCCACCTCCTACATGATGCGACAGGCCAGGATGGAGGCCAGGTGCACGGCGTTGGCCCTTGTCAGCCACCCATCAATGTGGACGGACAGCCTCGTCACACCCTCGCACATCCATACCCGCTCTTGGCAGTGTGCCGATAAGTTGTCCAGGCCGCGTGGGCGTGCGATTGTGAGTATGAAGGTGACGGGGAGAAGACGATAGAAAGGACGAGGAAGATGGGGGGAGCACAAGAACCACACGGAGCACGAAGAGGTATCATATTACCAAGACGAGCCAGATAATACAAACGAGAGGCGGAAAGGACAGAGTGTACGAGGAAAAGTGAGCAGATTACAGAAGACGCCCACTTCCTTCGTGATGTTCATCAGGCGAGAGACCATGCCACCATCACCGCCAGCGCCAGCCTGAGCGAACCACACTTTCAAACTTGCCTGCATCCTGTATCACCTCAGCCCCCTCAATCCCCCTCCTCCACCGATGCTCATCGCTCCTCATACTCACCATTCCGGCCCTTCTCATCATCAGCAGCAGCAGCTTCATCCTGCATGTCGTCCTCCGCTGTATCATCATGATCATCCTCCTGATCATCATCATCATCATCATCATCATCATCATCATCATCATCATCATCATCATCATCATCATCATCATCATCATCATCAGCAGCAGCAGCATCAGCATCAGCATCAGCAGCAGCAGCATCATCACCACCACCACCACCACCACTACCACATCACCACCACCACCAACCTCAGCATCATCATCGCCACCTCCACTACCAACCTGGTTAGCATCATCCTCACACGTAATCATCATCAACAGCACCAGCAGCATCACCACCGCCACCACAACCCCCATAATCGTCATCATCATTACCACCATCACCACCATCATCAACATCATCATCATCATCATCAGCAGCATCATCTTCAACAACACCATCGCCAATATCCTCAACAACAACAACAACAACCACAACATCAGCAACAGCAACAGCATCAGCAACGTCAACAACAACAACCACAATAACAACAACAACGACAACAACAACAACAACAACAACAATCATTTTACCCGAACGCTCAGTGTTCTCCCCAGTGCCAGGGTTTTCTTGCGACACCAGCCAATACCCCCACTTCGTGGGGGGGCCGTTCAAGCTCTACCAAATATCCAAACGACTCTTCGAGACCACCCACACCCAGCTTCCCGCCCTATGACGTTGGGACACTTCACTTCGTGGCGTGCGGACGACCCTGGCTACTACACTGGCGTGGGGTACACACCCACAGAGGTTGATCACATCTGTTACATATGATGTGGTACACGGTACACGTGAGATGGTACGCAGTGCCAAGATAGTTGGTCACATTTTTGGGGCAAATTCGTGGGGATGCGATTACAGAAGTACATGTGTTACACTGATGTTATACAGTCCCAAGGATGACGCATGCATTGCTCATAGACTCATGGCGCTATGATCCTAACTCTCAGTGCCCAACGCGCGCGTGCACAGCCAGACGGAGGGAGAGAAACACATGTATACAAGGTTCGTGACATACGCACGGTCCACCATGTTGTAAACGATCGCATGCACGGTAAGTTCTGAAATTATACGTATGTACAAGCAGACATGCGAGGGAGAAAGGGAGATGGCCATCGACAGTTCCAATACGGCTCCAAGGCGGAAGAGGGGGAGGAGGAGCAGGACAAGGAGGAAAGGAGAGAAGCGAGAAAGGAAGAACGCAGACGGCGCGGCTCTGGACACAAAGGGGTGCCATACTTTCTCCTGCTTTCGCAAACAGGTCCAGTCACACGTAGGGGTATACTCAACCGAATGGTCTTCGCATCCAGAAGCATACTAAAGGCGCGACGCATCGTCGTCTGCGATGGCGCGGAGCGGGCGCGTGGGTGCCCGGCTGCCTGGCTGATACACGTGCGGGCCTGGCTGATACCCGTGCGGTCCCAGATGCCCAATGAGATTGCCGATACGCCTGCTGGCGGGAAGGCCGGTGCTTGCATACGGCAGGGGGGAAGCCTCCTGGCGCGGTTTGGGGTCCACTTGAGAGCCTTTGGGGGGCTCCTTGGAACCATCTTGGGGCCTCTTGGGGGCTTATTGGACCCTCACGGCGGACTCTTGGGGCCTCTAGAACGCCTCCTGGGGCCATCTTGGGGGTCTCTTGGAGCCACCTTGGAGCCTCTCTGGAACCTCTTGGGGGCCTCTTGGAGTCCTCTTGAAGCCTCTTGGGACCATCTTGGGCGCCTCTTTGGGCCTCATGGACGCCTCTTGGGGCCATCTTGCGCGCCTGTTGGGGCCATCTTGGGTTTTAAAGATTCATCAAGAGACCGCGAATGGATTTCGAGATTTTTCGGATGAGAAAGTAGTGCGTTTTCATATGTTTTCTGAACATCGCATCTTGAAATTATTGAAAACCCATTGTGTTTGGCAGGATTTCGACATGCGCGCGCGGCGGCCGCGCGCATGTGCACTTCGTCTCATTTTTTGCAAGGGATGGTGGCCCTCGCAGGCGCGCAACCGTTGTTGGAGAAGTTCAAAGCACCTGAAGAAGTAGCACGCAAAGACCCTTTTGACAGAAATGTTTAAAAAGTGGTGTGTTTCCTATGAATCCGCAAGAGCGCGCGGAAGGACATTTTGACAATTTGTTCTTAAAAAACCATTGGGTTTTTGATGTTTTTATGTTAAAATCGCTACGAAACCTAAGGTTTTGGAAGGATTTCGTCTTGCGAGCGCGAATGTCCACTTTACCTTATTTTTTGCAAGGGATTCTTGAAATTTGATCAACTAAGAACAAGAATTTTCATTTTCTATTGTTTTTTGCAAGGGAAAACGAGCGTCAACAAAAAACCGGATCCGGGGGTAATCCACTTTTCTGAAGCTTTCGCAGAAAAATGATGAAAATGTAGCTGCGGCCTAGGTTTTGGGCGGGGGGCGTGCACCAGGGGGTCCAACAATAATAATTCTTTAGAAGTAATAGTGTTCAACAACAACAACAACAACAACAACAACAACAACAACAACAACAACAACAACAACAACAACAACAGTCATGTTAAGACTGCCCGCTTTTATCTGCACGCGTGCCTTTCAAAACGTATATCCCCAACAATCGATACCCGCCCTCTTCGTATTCGATCGTACCCCCTCAGAGTGGATTTTCCTTGCCTGCCGCGTGCAATTAGAGCAGCCCCTAAGGCAAAGGAAAAGGGGACGGATGGAAGGGAGAGGGAAAGAGATGGAGCACGGGATTAGCAGGAGGGGGTCTCGGAGCAGAAAACAAGTGGCAGAACCAGACGGGCTGATCAGGCGGGTAGACCTTAACGGGCGGGTCGGGAAGGCGGGCCCAAGCGGCCAGGTCGAGCAGGCAGGTTGCTGAAGCGTGGGTAATGCATGAATCGCGAGGAGGTCTCGACCGATAGCGGGATTCCCAAGTGAATCGCCTGAAAAACCAGAGCGAGAGCGCGATTCCTGCGCGTCGAGAGCGCAGCCTGTGAACGGATTGCGAGGAAGTCCCAGGCGAGGGCGCGATTCCTGCAACATTGTGAGGAGGTCCCCCGCGAGAGCGAGATTTTTGTTGCAAATGGGGGGCCATGGGGGTAGTTTGATCCTCAAGACTTTCCCTAACAAGAAAAAGGTGCAAGCCCCAGGAAGGACACTTCAACTGGAGAAATATAATGTGCGCCAGAAGGGGGGGTCCACAACAATTAGTACTCTGCAACGGGAATTCAACAGAAAATCCGCCGGCCCCCTTGTGGGGCCACCAGGCTGTAGGACGAAGCTTCGCAGTTTCCTGTGCCAGTTGCAGCTTCCAGTTTCCACTGGTACAATTCTGCTTCTTGCAGCTTACTGTTCCTTGTCTTGCTGCTTACTGTTCCTTGTTGATGGACCGCGCGAGTGGGGGAGGCCCAAAACGAGCATTTTTACCACGCCCAAAACGTATGCTCTGAATTGCTGGGGTGGGTACAAAATTAACACCCCTCACGCAGATCGGCGGGGTCG